ATGTGCTCATTTTTGTGAGGCTGGCAGGGTGCGTTCATGGTCTTTGTGGAGATTAGAGTTTAAAGTCTTTTAGTTTCCTAAAGTATAAATAGATATGTATATATATATATATATATATATATATATATATTAGTATATATCTATTTATGATTTAGGAATCTAAAGGACCTAAAGCTGTAATCTCCATAAAGGACCTGAACGCCACCTTCCAGCCTCAGAAAATTGATCATCCTAACGGGCTGCAGATCACCTTCCAGACAGCTGATAAAACCAGGAACCTCTTTGTTTATCACGAGAGTTCAGAGGTACAAGGAGAATCAAATATAGGAGTATGTTTTCCAATAATTGCTGTGGTTCTGTAAAAGCTCATGGTTACATTTTTAACTTTAGGAAATAGTTGCGTGGTACAACGCCATTCGAGCTGTGCGCTATGCATACCTGAAGACAGCCTACCCGACCGGTAGAGATGAAGAGGTAACTTTTAATCCTCTTCAAATAATTCAGCTTCCTGTTTGGTGACGTTCAACTCAAACTTACTCACTTTATCTAACAAAGTTAAGTCATGTCCTCGAAATGTTTCAACAAGTTTTTTATTTTTAATCTGTCCAGAGGGCCTGACTTATTAACCTTGTTAAATTTTTCTACCCGGATTATTGAGCATGCGTCAGAATACATACTTTATATATTTTTAGAGCTTTACTGAAAAGAAATTAAAGCATAAAATTCATATTATTTTATTACAGTGAAAGCAGTCTGTATTCAAACTGTTGTTTATTGATTTGTATGTACATTTCTTTTTAAATCAAACTGTAACACACTTTATTCTATTTAACTCATATGTGAGAACCTTTGGTGCAATCAGTGATAGTGTCCTATGGCTTTTGATATTTGTTATTTATAGATGTTTTGAATTATTTATCTTTATTTACGGGGCAGCACAGTAGCTCAGTTGGTGGAGCTGTTGCGTCTCAATGGGAAGGTTGGCAGATCAAATCCCAGCCCTGGGACTTTCTGGGTGGTTTGCATGTTCTCTCCGTGCATGCGTGGGTTTTCTCCAGGTACTCCAGTTTCCTCCACAGACCAAAAACATGCATGTTAGACTGACTGGTAACTCTAAATTGTCCCTAGGTGTGTGTGAGTGAGAGAGTGAATGGTTGTTTCATTTGTCCCTGTGATGGACTGGAGACCTGTCCATGGTTCCCACCTCTTACACGGTGATTGAGACCAGGAACCCCCGTGATCCAAAAAGGAAGAAATGGGATGGATCTTTATTTGCAAAAAAAAAAAAAATCATCCTAGAAATACAATGAAATCTCTTTGTTCCCCATAACATTGTTAGCTGAAATCTATTTTAGCACATTGGGTTTGTTTTTTGCCTGCTTATGCTCCTTTTAGCTTTTAGCTCCAATTTAGCTCATTTTAGCTATGATTTTGTTATTTAAATTTTGTAGCTACAGTTTTGGTAACTTTTGTATCCAGCTGTGGTTTCTTTAATTTATGCTTTTAGCTCCGTTGTTTCTTATTTTAGCTTTTCGGTACAGTTTTGATGTTTTTTAGCTCAAACCTTTGTTTTTGTGATTTTTTTTTTTTCTGTTTTAGCTTCTTAAATGAATTTTAGCAGCCTCACAGCACTCTTATTTTTGCACAAGACACAAATTCCTGTAGTTTTTTTAAATTTATTTAAAGTTTAATGTGTTTTTGTTTTTTTCAGCTGGTGCCAAAGATAACAAGAAACTTCCTTAAAGAGGGATACATGGAAAAGACAGGGCCGCTGGTGAGTTAAAATGTTTGCTCAGTTTATTTATCTTTTTTTCTTTACGCGGTGAAGCGTTAAAGTTATTTCTGGTTTTATGCTCTCTGAGCTGTCCAACTTAAAGTTTCTGTTCCTCTTTCACATATAGGAACAGACAAATGCTTTACATAAATATTTGAGTTGCTAATGACTTTCATCATAAAAACTGAGGAAATAGTTGCAAATTTTATTCATTATTTTTAATGTAGTGCTTGAAATTGAACTTATTTTTTTTTTTTTTTAGCAAAAGGAGCCTTTCAAAAGGAGGTGGTTCAGTTTGGACTCGCAAAACAGGAAGTTGCTCTACTTCAAAAACCAACTGGTGAGACTTCTTCTAATTTTATCACCGCATCGTTCGTCAGTGCCTCATATTTAAAATCTGACTGTGTTTGTTTTGTAAATTCAGGATGCTGAGGAGTTGGGGGTCATTTTCATCGGCACAGAGAGCAACAGTTACTCTGTTGAGACGTTTGTCCCCAAGCACGCTCGGAGGAACAAGTGGAAGTTTGGCATCAGGGTGGAGACGCCTGAGCGTCCGTTCATATTAATGTGTGAGCAGGAGAGGGAGCAGAGAGAGTGGGTGGACGCCCTGAAGAAGGTGCTGTCCAGGCCCATGTCACCTCAGGATATTGCTGGTGAGCGAAGGCTCTGAAAGTTCAACATGAAGCTCCGAAACAATTCAGTTACATGGTGCTAGAATGGATCAGTTGGAGGGATGTGGCCATTTGCTGCATCTGACTAAACAAGTTCTGGACTAAAAGGTGTCAGATGACAAAATGGACCCCTGACAACACTCTGACAAAGAATTAATCTAGAATTTATCCATCCATCCATTATCTTTGACCCACTTCTTCCTTTTCGGGTCACGGGGGTCATTGGTGCCCATATCCAGCAATCACTGTGCGAGAGGTGGGAGACACTCTGGACAGGTCTCCAGTCCATCACAGAGACACATGGAGACAAACGAGACAAACAGCCATTCACTCTCTCACTCACACCTAGAGACAATTTAGAATTAGCAATCAGCCTAACATGTTTTTGTCTGTGGGAGGAAACCGGAGTACCCGGAGAAAACCCACACATGCACAGAGAGAACATGCAAACTCCACCCAGAAAGGTCCCGGGCTGGGATTTGAACCGGCAACCTTCTTGCTGAGAGCAGCTCTACCACCTGCTCCACTGTGCCGCCCAATCTAAAATTAT